CCCGGATTAGGACTCCTCCTGATCAAACACACCCGATTAGTCCTACTTTCACCATAATTGTGAACCTATTCCTTTATTGAGCCGGATTCACTTCCGGGTTATTGATCTTGCCGAGACTCCTCATTGCACCAGGATTCGACTCGTCTTACGGCATGGCATAACCGACCCGGATTTGGAAGGCCACGACCTAACCAGTCCAGAACTAATCGATCCCTGAGAACCGAACCCTGTCGTAAGGCCTTCTGGGCTGAGAATAATTCTATACTCGGCCCAAACTAATATTTTGGGCCCAAACATATACAAAAGCCAATGATGTATATACTTATATATGTGCCAATTGATATAGCAGATAATCAATCAAGCTATTCGCCAAATTACAGACTTATTACTTCCTGCACTCATTTTCTTTTCGCTGCTCTCTCTGCTGGTCTTTCCTTTTCTACACCTTATCGATAAACTTGTTTGTCAGGCCTGTTTTAACCTCTAAAGGAGGGTTTAACCCCATTATCTGCATAATAAACAGAGTTTGAGTGGCAGAAACAATTGACACAAGGCTTCAGGAACAGAAACGCCTGTCAGGTAAAAAAATGCCCCAATTTCTTACCAATTGTGACACTGTCGGTAACTCTTTTGGTGCAACAGTCATCCAATCTCTCCTCCCAAAATTGAAATGTTATGCCAAATGAATGATCACACAACAAAATTTAGTTTCCAAGTTCGTCTTAAATCCAATAAAATGCACGCACACAACAGCCTAAAATCGAACATTAGAATGTGGCATATGGAAGGAATCGCGAAGGATAAAATTAATAACAAAACTTTTTGAAGCAAACATGATGATGAACGGTAACCAAGATCCATGAATACTTTCGTAAGTCAATAGTACATGTTGTCGAAAATGCATTCCAATGTAACTACAAACCTTATAAAACCCAACCCAGAAATTCCATACGCATTCATCATCGTAGGCAAACAAGATTTATGCACTTGCATATCTCCTAGGATATTATTAGCCAGTTTACTTCCCGAAACAAAGTTATTCAGATATCTTTATCCCCAAAACAGTTGAGTACTCGATCAAAATCTGGGGCATATACATCCTTACCGTATCTCCATTCTTTACGTACCAGTGGAGCTTATCAGGAAGCTGCATATTCAGAATTATGCTTTCAGAATTCTTCAATGATAAGGATTCATCGTTCAACACCTCAGGTTCAACAAAGGCAATTTGTGCAGACCAGATAAATTTAAGGGTAATGGGGATGGTTGAATCCATTGCATAAATAAACAACATCCACAGCATTGTGTGAATACGGTGTCTGTTGGGTGATTTTATAGCAAGTCGTAATACAGAATCGCTGAGGATACGATATTTGTTGGGTGAATACTGTGTTCATGTTCTTTAAAAGGGAGCAAAAGTTTTGGTTTCTTCTCAATAAAATTAAGCAGAAATCCCAAAGGCCATTGAGTGATATTAAGATTCACCCACAATTAAAGGAGAAGCACATCTCACTTGCACACTTTACATAATATTCACTAATACACAATCATTCATCCACAACAGTTTTATTGACATGCTTGACCTGCGGGAGCAGCGTCGGCAGACACATGCACTATTACAATCTTCAACTGGCAGCGCTGCAAGTTCTAAGTTCAAGGCGATGTAAACTGATAGGAGGCATACGAAAGAGCACCGAGCCCCCAGCTGTCGTGGATTTGCTTAGCCTTTGCATCCGGACCAGCAGCCCCCACCGCTACATGCAGCGGGTAAAAGTGATCCGGCCAAGGGTGCGCCATTTTCGCATGCGGCGCCTTCTCCACATACTCGTTCACATCCTCGTACCTTCCTTCCAGAAGAGCTTCCTTGATCCATGTGTCAAACTCGAGAGCCCAAGGGACGGCACATCCATTGCTCTTTGTCTCCCTCTTCAACGCCCTTAAGTTGTGAGTGGCGCTGCCTGACCCCACTATAAGGACGCCCTCCTCCTTAAGGGGAGCCAGCGCCCTCCCCATGTTGTAGTGGTAGGTGGCGTCCCTCTCTGTCTGAACCGACAACTGGCAAACCGGTACGTCTCCCTCCGGGTACATCAACATGAGCGGGACCCATGCGCCGTGGTCGAGCCCCCGCTTACCGTCCACATCCGCGGGGCCGAAGCTGGACGACGTAAGCAGCTGCTTGACGCGGTTAGAGAGGTGGGGCGAGCCGGGGGCAGGGTACTTGATCTGGTACATGGATTTGGGGAAGCCGTAGAAGTCGTAGATGGTGTCGTGGCGGCCGGAAATGGAGTTAACGGTGGGGACAGCGGTCTCCCAGTGTCCTGAGATGATGAGAATGGAGGTGGGTTTGTGAGGATAGACCGTGTCCTTCCAAGACTGGAGGAATTTTCTGGCCGGAATCGACTCGTCGATGCTGAGCGTGGGGGATCCGTGCGATAGGTAGAACGTGTCCTTCAATGCCATAAGAATCTTTTTCCTTTTTCTTTGAGAACTCAATTACCACAAAAACGAAAACCCAACAGCAAGAAAATTTCTTCGATTTGGAAATATTAGGGATTTGGGAATTTGTGAATTTGATTTGGGAATTTGGGATATGGGAATTTGATTTGGGATAAGGAATAGGTATAGAAACCCTTTTCCTTATCGAATATTATTATAGTGATAGGTCGTAATCCGGGTTTGGTGAAGGGGACTGGGATCACCTCCGGATCCCCCTGCTGAGCAACCTGAGCAAAACGTCACAACCTTTCATTTTCATCTTGTCTTGTTTTGCGTGAAAATTTCACTATTTAAATTTATTTCTAGCACAAGATCAAAATTGAAAGAACAGGCTGTTTTGTTCAGTTTGCATTCGTATCTACTTCGATCATTTTCCAATATGGATGTGCTTTTTTAATTAACACCTCACAATATGTTGAATACATCACTCATTAAAATTTAATATTAAATAACTTATATATTTAATATGTAATGACAATTTCGACCTTATAAGGTTTTAAAAAAAATTAAAAATCCAAATTACTTTTCACATGTATATCCCAAGTTTATTTATCTTCTTCAATTCTCAAAAACACTCTCATCATCTGTTGTAGAATTAATAAAACTACAAACATGTTAATTGAAAAAATTATTCTTGACAAATGAAACGTGAAATCAACGTTTCAAAAGCTTTACATGAGGTAAGACTTCAAATTTTCATTGTTTTATTGATTTCAACGATATCGACATGCATATAGCTGCGTTATGAATGATATCCATTAAAAACAAATATGATTGATGATGAGAATCACACACCTAATAAACCTTAGCCACATTAGATTTCAAAGATCCCTTGATTTTAAAAGCAACGTAACAACCTAATCTCTTCCTCTAATTCAATGATTAAGTAACTAAATCCATTCCCATGATTTGATCAAAGAAAAAGAAGAGGAATCATGACACACCTCGACCTAGATCGAGGCATGCTAGCTGTCACGTGAGGGTAACATAGCAATGTGCACAGTGCGAAAGCAATAATGATATATAGAAATGCGAATAAATAAAACCGAACCAACTAAAGCACTAGATACGGTAAGGTGCAAGACGAGAATATGTGTGACTACACATAATCAAAGCATAAGTAGCCTAAGTGCAGTCCAACAGGATAAAGATGGTCCTACACTAGTGATAATCTGTCAGAGTTGCCTTGAATTCCTCGTGAGCCACCAACAAGCACTCCTACCTAAAACCTGGAGAGGCGCAAAACAGAAAGTGTGAGTGGGCAAAAACAAAGCTTTTCAAAACCATTTCATTTATCAAAAGTTCTAACCCCTCACCGTAAAACCTATATAAATTCCCAGAAAATAGAATATATAGACATATCTCAAAACTATGCTCAGAATAGTGGAAATCATAGTATACCATGCCATATATCTCAAAGTAACAAAATAAGTAACTCAAGTGAAATAATCTCATGAAATATAACATATCAGCCGGATCCATCTAAAGTGGCCTGTACGGCTGAATCTATAGCTCAACAAGTATGCCTGCACACGAGTTGGAACCACCTAATGTGGTTTGTACGATAGGACTGGGTGTAAATAAATACGCTCTAGTGCTACGATCACGTGAAGACTGTGCGAATAATCGCAGGTCACCTACAAGTCGAAACCACCTATAGTGGTCTGTACGACAAGATTATGCACCTAACTTGGATCCAAGGTGAGCGTATGGTGTGGGAGGTGAATGATGAGTAGATTTTATATTATATATTTTACCCTAACCTTAGTATATTTTGGTTAATATATTGGAAGAATTTTGATACTTTGAATTGTATTTTCAATATAGGACTTCCGACTTCCTCTGGAGCAAAACAGGATCAAATGGACGAATTTTGGAGTAATTCCAGTTGGAGGACGTTCGTGAGTCACTTAGCTTGATCGTATCAAAATTTGGGATTTTTCCACAAAGCGGTTATTTTCTGGCGATGAAATAAAGAAGCAGTGCGCAGTGCTGGAAAATGACGTTTTTGGGCTTAAATGACGTTTTTGGAGCCCAAGATGACCTCGGATGGGTTCGTGGCCTTCTGGAAAAGTGTTCAGAATATTCCAAACATTAAATCCAGCTATATTGGGCCAGTTTTGGAGCAGCTTATGGGCCAAAACGTGGCTGTTCAGATTTTAGACGAATTTTACTATTTTTATTTAGGGTTTTTATTAATTTTAGTTTGCTAGGGTTTGTGTGGTGGCTAAGAAAATATATTGCTTGGCCATCTACAGTTTTAGTGGACACTTTCTTTTATGCAATTTTGGAGACAGAGAAGTGCTAGGGTTTTGAAGATTTTCTACTTGAAGGTGTTTTCAATCCTTGTCTTAATAGATATTTCTATGATTTCAATTATGAATATGCGGAACTAATTTCTTTTGCTAGGGCAAAGCCTTGAGCCTTAGCATGAATATGTGATTTTTATTTAATTGCTTATGATCGATTGCATGCGTACTTTGAATTGTTAATCACCGGGATAAAAACTATCTAATTGTTGTAATGCCTGATCACCATTAGGATCTTTAGAAAAGTAATTTGATGCAATTTTGGTCGGAAGGTTCCCTGAAATTGACGCTGGCTTCTTGTGATTAATAATTGTAATTTCTCTTAGGATGAATATCACGTCTTAAGGATTGCATGGTTTTTCAAAGGATTTTCATAAAGCATAATGAGTCTTTCATGTTTAGATTTGATCTGAACGTCCGGACGGGTTGCATGTTAGATATACGTTCTATGTTGGAGGTTCCAAGTAGAATATGAATTAGGAAAATCTAACCTTCAAAGTAGCATGTATAGATCATAAGTAATTGGTAAAAATTCATAGGATTGCTAGGTGATGGTGGAACCCTAGTGCTTTCTTAATTTTATTCTCCCAAAACTATTTTCTTTCTCTCTAGCTCTAATATTGCAGATTGTTTATTTTAATTCATTAAATTCGTTTTTATTTTAATTAGGTTATAAAATCAATCACTTCAATTTCTACTTTACAATAATTAAATGGAATCTGATTAGTTCGAATTATTTAGTAATCCCTGTGGAAATGACCTTGCGAGATCCGTTTATACTACAATAACCTTGTGATTCTTGCAAGTAAAATAGGAGATTTAAGCCCGTTCACATAAGTAGTAAAAATCCTATCAGTGAACATCACGTTAAGGATTGTGCCCTAACCACGAGCGGGAGCACTAACATTGGGGTGTAGGTTTATGAGCTCTCAACACATCTCATCAATTCACAATAACAATCTACAACTCACCTGAGCATCCACTGGGTCGAATCACATATGTATATACCATACAGTTTCATAGTCTAAGTATAAATCAATAGGCAATGGAATTTCAAAACATAATATCATTTAAACACATTTTTTGGGAAAAATGCCGAGTATATAAGTATATATTGAAAACCAAAAGCCCACTCACTGATATGTGGAAGGGTCGTAACCCTCGAGCCTTACTTGACTGCACTCGTCCTCAGGATAGGTTTCACCTATATGCGAAACAATTATATAAACGTTATTTAAATCACATAACCAAAACTAGGTAATAACTTCTCATACATTGCTCAATTGGGGTGTTTGAATATACCAACGTGATCTACTCAACCCCACGAACATCACCTTATTTTTAGAAAAAATTTCCGACTACCCCCGCGCCGGCCAAGGCACGGCCAGACGCACTGCCCATGCACAGGCACGTGCCTGGCACACTGACGGATTCCCTAATGGCATTAAGGAATATTCTGTTAAATAAAAAAATATGTCGTTAAAGATACCTGACGCCATTAGAATATTCCGTCAAAGTTGACAGAATATTCGCCTTTTTCTCTGGCGAGTCACCGGATTCCATCGCCGTCGCCATTTGTATCGCCAGAAACTAGAAAATCTTTCAACTTTAATATCTCTTCCATTTCTCAACCAAATTCAATGAAATTTTCACCAAAATAAAGCTTACAACAAGTAGAACACATTCTTACCACTTTAGGGGACCTAAAAACAACGGAAACTCGTGGGAAAAACTCGACGGAACCGGCCAAACCCTGCAACTATATAAACCCGAGTGTTCTTACGTTAAAATCACTCCAAAATTGATCCAACGTGCTAGAAAAGCAAGAATAATACCTTCTTAGGTCTCAAAACAACTTAAAACCTTTGTGATAACGTCGGAGGAAAATCACCTCTCACCAGAGTTCGGGAAATTCAAGTTCTACAAGCTCTCACGACCAACTAAGGGTATGAATCAACTCTTGGGCTTGCAAGGAACATGAAAACCACCTTCACAATCTCGATCTGTGCCTGCAAAGGTTGGTTTGAAATCTTTCCGTACAATTGTACAGAAATGGAAAGAGGTCCGAGAGGGAGGAGAGAGAGAGAGAGTCAACAGAAGTTTGTGTATGGGTGTGTGTGGTCCTAGTTGGGTCACCAACCAAAAACAAACAAAATCCTAAGTTCTAATTGGGAACAATTAGCTAGGAAATAAATTAATTGGTCACTTTCCTTAGCCCACTAATACAAAACACAATCCAACGCTCAAGGGAAAAATGGTCATTTCACGCTATCGAGGATAAAATAATATACACATTCGGGACGGGCTGTCACAACCTACCCCTCTTAAGAAAATTTCGTCCCCGAAATTTCCATACAATAATGTACAACCCATTAATACTTATAAAATAAGCGTGGGTACATTTCCTTCATACGCTTCTCTGTCTCCTAGATGGCTTCCTCCACCGAGTGATTCCTCCACAAAACTTTCACTAAGCGCACGGTCTTATTCCTCAAAACCTTATATTTCCAATCCAAAATCGTCACTGGCTCCTCATCATAAGTTAAATCTGGATTAATTTCCAATGGTTGAGGAGGTATCACATGTGATGCATCTGAAACATAATGACGGAGCATGGAAACATGAAAAACGCTGTGCACTTTAGACAACTCTAGAGGCAACTCAAGCCTGTAAGCAACCTCACCGACTCGTTCGGTGATCATATACGGTCCAATATACCTAGGACTTAGCTTACCTTTTTTCCCAAACCGCACAACACCTCTCCACGGTGATAACTTCAGGAATACCCAATCACCAACTTTATACACTCTATTAGTGGCATGCTTGTCTACTAGACTCTTTTGTTAATCCTGAGCCGCTTTCAAATTAGACTTAATTACCTGAATATTCTGAATAGTCTCATCCACAATCTCAGGGCCCACCAAAACTC